GCTCCTCCCCGATTCGCCACAAAATCACCAAAGTGCCAGAGATGAGCCATAGATGCTGCGTATCAACCGAAGCAGCCGCAGGGAAGCCTAATTAAGGCACTTTTATTAGAATGTAGGCTCAAAGTTGAACGGTGAAAAGAGAACAGCCAGATGTCGGGCCTATATCTGCCACTTCTTAGAGAACACTGGCCCAAAGCAGCTAGGCGACAAACTAAAACGAAGTAGTGAAGCCTGGCTTTTGTACTTGTCTGACAGTTTAGTGTAGGGCACTGCGGAGGCCGGAATTGTTATGCCCGTCACGACCCGACCCGATAGATACACTCCCCGGGCTATGCCCGAGCCCGACAGAATATTGAATTTCTAGGCCCGACCCGACCCAGCACAGTAGAGACATGATCCGGGCCCGGCCGGAGCATGGCTAGTTTTTGTTTAAATATGAGCTCGAGCTGGGGCCCGAGCTTGACAGATTATAAACATGTGCCCGAAAAAGTTTGCAGGGTTTAACATAAAAACTATCTAGGCATAAAGCGCGCACCCTCCCACTATTCTGGTGGAGTCCGTACGTTTTCTTTAACACACTTCAAAATTTTCAAATGCAAAACTTTTTTTTTTCTTTGTATGGCGCCGTAGTTATTTTGCACTTGGCTTGCTTGTTTATATTGAAGCTAAAAGATCAAGGAGGCACATTTTTTTGTTATCAACAATTTCGAAATTGTGGCACACAACCGCTCAGGCACGGCCCGAAAGAATGCTTTGTTTAAGCCCGAACTCGGCCCGGGCCCCAGAAAGAGCGTACCAACCGGCCCGAGCGCCGCCCGCGAGCCGGGCCGGTCTCGGGCTTTTGGGATGGCCCGGGCCAGTGCAGTGCCCTAGTTTAGAGTCAGAATACGCATATTCTAGAAAACTGATATCATGTTTGGTTATACCTTAATAAATTTGAGATTTCAGAAGTATAAACTGAAAGACATAAACCAAATATATTGGCACAAATCATTGTGCTTCTAGCGTACATCCTCAGATATCCGATCCTTCCAAATGCGATATAAAAACGAAGGATGTTAACACGCGTCTAAGTGCTAGTTTCCTCCTTCGTGAAGGAGAAAGGAATCACAAATATATTGGAAAGATTAGAAGAAAATTTGTGAACGGTAAGGAGATAGAGAGATTTAGGAAACCCACACGCACAAACACTGATATAAGAAGCTTGGCAGTTAGATAGTTCAGCCTCGTGTTCCGGGGGAACAAAACCAACCGCCGGAGGGCCCGAAACTCATACTTTTCGGTTAAATGGGCGATGCAACGATGTTTATGCTTTGCGCAAATACCGCTTAGAACAGATTCCCGACGTTAATTACCTCTGAAACACCCATTCGTTTTTCACCAGTGGCAATCGAATTTACAAAAAATAATTAAAGAAAAACGAGGAAAGTTCACCCCCTCAATTCGCAGCCAGAACAAGCGGCCACGTGATCTGGAGCCGATTATATGCCGCCAATGTTGATCCTGGCCACGCGCTGGGTTTGGCAAAGCACAGGACACGCGCTGAGTTCCAGGCATTGTTCTGGTTCGGCTATCGTCGTCAATAAAGCGATTGGACACGGGCCACTACCCGAATGCTTCTCGAGCTACCGATTATCACGAGCCAAAGTCGGGTGCCCACGCAATGCTTGGGTCCAATCTATGAGCTAAATTCAAATATTGTCACTGGGCGGTACTGCTACCGTCCAGCTACCTCATCAAGTTTTGCGAAGGAGAGATTGAATGAAAACGCTCGCTGTTGTCCTTGAAATTTCACCCCAACAAAGGAGCTTATTGGCCAGTGGCGTTGCGTGCGAGTATCACTGTATCAGTTTTCGAATCGGCTATGTTGCCAAAATATTGGGATTTCTGAACGAGCTCAAAACCGAGGTAGAAAAAAACAAAAACGGAATAAGCCTATTTTTAGCTCTAAAGGCATGTCACCCCACCTTCTTTTGTGTCTTCGTGCGGCTGTAAGCAAACGCAACAAGCGCTCCTAGCAAATCAGAGGGGTGCAACAAAGCACATGCCCGCTCTCCGTGGGACAAAAACGCTTGGACGAAAATTTGTCACGTGACTCGCTCTGACGCAGTGTTGGGCTCACTGGGGCCATAGTATTTTTCCGTATTCCAACTGGTGGGGATGAATAGGAGGCCACACATGTACGCGGTTTCAAAAATGCGCTCTTCAGAAGGGAGTTTTCGTAGATTGCATTCCCCCCCCCCCCCCCCCTCCCCCTACACCCTCAGCAACGGAGAAACGGTCACTGCGCCTGCGTGCCGAAGGCCATGAATGCAGAGTTCCGGGTATCGTGGAGGGTTGCGCAAAGCCGTTGCGGGACGGTGAAAACGATCTACGAAAACACGCTGGTGGTCTGATTTCCGTGCGTACAGTTGCGGCCACGGTTTTTCGCAGTGAACGGCCGGAATACTTCCATGCCAACTTTTCGGTAATGGTTGATTTCTTCGTCGGAGTCCACAGAAATATTCTGCTGTTTGTTGGACGCGCTTCGACAAAGAACTGCTCGTAGGCGTCAGCGAGACCTTTGTGGAATTTGGTAGACCTTCTTTCTCAACTTTCTGTTTGCGTTGCTCAGTAATGCCCAAGTTGGAATATGCATCTATTACGAATTAGATGATATCGCTGGTTAATGGTAGGTACACAGCAAGCATGCTTCTGGGAGTAGTCCTACTCTCGTCTCAATAGAGTATATTAGTATATTGTTCCGATACCTTCGATAACCCCGATAACGATACAATTTATCCGCAAAGGCGGTGGCGGGGTATTGATTATCGTTGTCGGAGTCTTCAGAACGATCTATTAGAACTCTAATGTCTACGGTCGTTGGTTTAGGGTTTATTAATTTTGTTGGGCATAAAAACAGTGTAACTCCACTTAATATTTTCCTTCCAGTTCCACAGGAAAGTCTCACTTGTGTTAATGTGCCGGGAACAAGCTTTTTGTCATGATAGTGGGTTAATAAACGTCTGTGGGAGCTTGAAAACAATTCCGTTTGTTTATGTACGCGTGCGAGGTGCGCCTTGTAAGCGTGAAACGCAATACTGCCCCATGTAACCTCTCCACGTGCTCTGCCTCATCAGGCGCTGTCTCGAGAGACTGCTTTATAGTCTCTTGTTGCCCGTCAATAGTTTCCGTTTGGTTCGTCAGCAACATCGCTCGCTCCAAAGGGAGCTCATTTTCGATCTGTAGTTTGGTGGAGAGTCTTTTGTCCCGCACACAGTCTATAGTCGGTGACAGGTTAAGAAAAATGTGGACGCTCCACCCAATTCTTTCCACTTTAGGAGAACGAACGCTGGATAGGAGGTGACCTCCTCTCCAGCATTCGCTCTGCTAAAGTGGAAAAAGAGGGAGGAGCTTCCACTTTACTCTTCACCAGTCACCGACTATAGGATGCGATCATTAAGGATCTCATCCTTAAGGTTGCCGTAGTTGTACGTCGCAACCAGACGTATAGTGCCGTGATCGAATCTGCTGCTGCGTCTCCCTCACGCTGCGAGCGGCTATGAACACTGCGTGCTCCACGCGACGTACTATTTCACGTTGGAAATGTTTCACAACGCCGTGACAGCGACGATAGGTTGTCGTATCACCCGCAAGGAAGGGGAGGGTGGCCACATCTCAACTATTCTTGGTCCCGAACGATGAAGTTTACGTGCTCGGCTTGAGTCTTCCCTTGTAACCCCGAGGCGGTCCGGAAACACTCCCATCGTATATTCCGGGTCGTCGACTGCTCGAACAGGAACGCGAACGGCCCTGGAGCAGAAACTTAGTATGGCGGTTGTGGTGGCGGCGGTTCAGAGGCTTGTAAAGACGCGTTCCTTGCTATGATCACTAGGCCTAATGGCGATCCGTTGACAGCAGCGCTAGCTGAGAGACTGGCGACTTCGTACGTTCGATGTGCGAATGCCTGCCGAGCGTCTCGCCTAACGATGAGTGAGGCTGATTTTTTCTTGAGAGAAAGCCTCTGACACCAGTTTATCTATGCGTAAGTCGATCAAATGTTTAACTCGTTTATTTACGTTTATAGCAAAATACACCGCAAACACGACTTCATGACGGCAAGCGGTGTTGCCCGCACGGCACAGCACAGACCTTGCCAAATCACTGGAACGGCGGCAGATAGCCCTACCGGTTAGTTGCAAGCACAAACCTTCAATAAAGGTACACATTATTTGATAATACAGAAAGAACAAGAGAGTTCCATGTTATTTTGCGGTGAAGATACAAAAATCACGCGCGATTTCCTGTTGGAATGCACAGGAGACCGCAAAAGTATACTGCTTGCTTTCTGCATCATATTGCGTCCGGAAGTCGCATGGACACTGTTTTGTGCTCGCCACTAAGTGGTAGCGCCACCTGCTGTCATGCCGGAGATTAGGGAGCGTCGAACAGGTCTGTGCTGTACCCGTCAAGAAGTCATGTTAACCTATATTAACAGTGAAACGTTTCTGGCCGACTCTTGCATAAATCACATGGTGTCCGAGACTCTCTCTCGAGCTAGGCTCAGCTTCCCGCGCCGCTAGGAAGGACACTCGGCAGGCACACGAACACCAAATTTTCTGCGTGGCCACTCGTTGTTAACTCAACTGATTCCTTTAGGCCTACTGGTCGGAACAAAGAGCACGCCTTCACAAGCCTCTCAACCGCCGCCGCACCCACCACCGCCATACCACCTTTCAGCACCGGAGCCGTTCACGTTCGTCCCTGACCAGTTGGAGGATCTGGAAGAAACGATGGGAGCGTTTCCGCACCGCCTCGGGCCTACAAGGGAAGACCCAAGCAGAGTAGGTTAACTCGTTCTTTTACCTCATGGGACCCAAGGCAGAGGAGATTTCGGCCTCCCTCCCCATCCCTGCGGACAAGACGGAATCCTATCCCGATTTTGTCGCGGCATTCGAAAACGTTTTCTATCGTGAAAAAGAACGTCGTGTACGAGCGCGCAGTGTTCAATAGCTGCTCACAGCGTGAGGGAGCTCTGTACATGCTGGTGAAAACGTGCGACTACGGCAACCTCAAGGATGAGCTCCTGAGGGATGGCGTCGTCGTCGCTATGATAGACAAAATACTCTCCACTAAGCTACAGATGGAAAGCGAACTCACTTTGGAGGGAGCGGTGATGCTGACGAAGCAAACGGAAACCCTTAGCCGGCAAGAACAGACGCTCAAGCACTCTACCGAAATAGTGCCTGATGAGACAGCACATGTGGACACGCTACAGGCGCCACAACAAACGGCTAAGAAGTTCCACCCGAAGTGTCCACAAAAGCCCTCGGTGGATCAGCCACACGCAACCCAGTCATGTTTTTGGTGTGGGAATATAGTGGAGCACGCAAGGCAGCAATGTCCTGCAGCCAAAGTTCGATGCAACAAGTGCAGAAAGCAAGGCCATTTCGCATCAGTCTGTAAAGTCAAGCGGCTCTGGCAAGTCGCCAAGCTGAATGAAAGCACGTCGACGGAGGAAGACTCCTTCTTCGCAGGAACGCTCAGCACTGGGCACAAGAAAAAGCCGTGGAAAGTCAACGTCGTTGTGTGCTGTCCAAACGTGGAGTTCCGCCTAGACAGCAGCGGACGTTACCGTGATTCGAACAAGTGTTCTGGCAAGACTGGACAAGGAGACAGCACTCCAGAAACCCGGCATTCTCCTTTTTTGGACCAGCAAAGCAGCGGCTGAACATCGTGGGCGTAATCCAAGCAACAGTAGTATACATTGGGAAATGTGCCGTGGAGAGCCTCTACGTCAGAAATGACCGGGATGAGCCTCTTCTGGGCTTGGACCTCATCGAGCGCTTTGGTATCCTGTACCGAGCGAGTAGAGCCGGAGCGAAGCTATGTCTCGACCCAGTCAACGAATCCCCAGACGTGTTCCAAGGTTTGGGAGAAGCCCCTACAGTTGCGAAATCAAGCTGAAGTCGCCGGTGGAACCTATGGCAGTCACATCACCGCGACGCATCTCAGTTCCCCTGTTTGAAAGCTGTGGAGCGTCAACTTCGAAAAATGGAAAGCGAAGGAGTGATCACCACTGTCAGGGAGCCAACAGATTGGTGCTCGGCAGTTGTGGTAGTACCGAAAAAGGATGGTGACATACGCATCTGTGTGGACTACACCATGTTGAACAAAAGCGTGCAGAAGGAGTATCATCCGATTCCAAGTGTAGAGCCTATTCTGGCTACTTTGGGACAAGCTAACTACTTATCCCGTTTGGATGCTTACTCTGGCTTTTATCGAGCGAAAGTGCACCCCGAATCAGCACTGCTCACCACCTTTATCACTTTATTTGGCTGGTTAAAGTTTAACCGCTCCCCTTTCGGCATCACCTGTGCTCCTGAGCCTTTTCAAAGAATGACTCATCAACACTTGTAACATCAACGCGCCGCAACATCAACGCGTGAACTATTGGAAGGACTTTACGGTGTTGCGTGCCATATGGATGTTATTTTGGTGTAGGCCAAGACCAAGGAAGAGCACGACAGTCGCCTGCGTGGAGTTTTAGGAAGAATGAAGGAAAAAAGTGAAAGCCGTTTTGTAACCCTGTAACGCCAAATTGGAGCGCAGCTCTTGAGGAGGAAGAGGGAAGGGTACTGAAGGGAGGGTAGACACCTCATCGTCCTTTCTCTCCTCATTCTCCTCCTCCCTCACTCTTTAATATGCTCCGGGGGGTCACCTGACCTCGGGCGGATGGGGTCACGTGACCTGGGGGGGTCACGTGACCTGGGGGTCACGTGACCTTGGGGGGTCACGTGACCTTGGGGGGTCACGTGACCTTGGGGAAACGTGGCGGTCACCTTGGGGGTCACCTGACCTTGAGGTGACCTCGGGGGTGTCACGTGACCTTGGGGCAAACTTGGGAGGGGTCACGTGACCTTGGGGGGTCACATGACCTGGAGAGTCACGTGACCTTGGGGGTCACGTGACCTTGAGGTGACCTTGGGAGAGGTCACGTGACCTCGGGGGGTCGCATGACCTTGGGGGCCACGTGACCTGGGGTCACCTGACCTTGGGGTGCCATTAGGGTCATGTAGGGGTCACCTTGAGGGGCCACGTGACCTTGAGAGGGGTTACGTGACCTGGGGGGTCACGTGACCTTGGGGTGAGCTTGGGAGGGGTCACGTTACTTTGGGGGTCGCATGACCTTGGGGTGACATTGGTTACGCCGACGCCGCTCAAACCGGAAACGGGCGCCTAAGAGCTGCGCTCTAAAAGGGATCACTCTCAACTATGAAAGTGCATGTTCGCCAAGGAAACAGTTAAAGGGACCATGAAGGCAATTTAACATTTTTTTAAAGAAGAAGGTGTTTTCGGAAGCATTGGGGTCCTGGCATGCCACACAATTTTTTCTAGAACGTTGTGACTCTTATTTCTGTACCTGCAAATAAATTTGCGAAATTCAAACAAACATTCAGATTTCTTCCCTTTTTCGCCTCTGGAAAGAGAAGTGACGTCAGGGAGCACTGTCGGCATCGGCAGGATTTAGTGCACACTCAGTCTGGTTTCCGTGGTTCGCTCTAGTGCAAGGCGGTCTGTGAAGAAAACCTGGAAGAAATAGGCGACAACGCCGCGCTTTCCTTAGACGCGGGAACTCCATGTTTTTACCCAGACTCCGGCTGACGTGAAGGTGCTGCTCAAAGTCTTCTGGTTGGAAATTCAAAGAACAAATCCTGACACCGCTGTCCACAGCTCTACGCAAGACGACGGCGCGCAACCAAATGCTGCGCATTGCTGCATCGGTCGGCAGTTTATGCAAACTAACGTCGCCCGATCGACCGCACGTCTTTAGTCGACCTTTCGCGCAGCCTACTACTGCACATAAACGCGGCATGATTGGTGAGACACCAGTTCGCAAAGCGAACACGAGGCGACGCACGAAACCAAAACCAAGAGTCCGCCGCCCCCGGCGCTCGGACCTCATTTTTTTTTGTCCATGGTTGCTCGACGCTTGTTACGCGCCCGAGGTAGCAGTGAGGGATGCGTTCAACCAGTGACAAACGGAGGGATCGCTTCAGATTATGCTTTTATACACGGTATGAAAGCTATTAATTCCCAACTACAACGTCAAAAGATTATCCAACGTTCAAATAAACGTTTTTCAACACATCTCACCACCGAAATCGAAACCAAGAGCGCGTCTATCGTTTGAACCAATCGCCAGACGAGGAGCCCGTTGTCGTCACGCTTCTACGGCGCACTTTAGTTCACCTTTCTGCCGCCGCCTCGGTGGGGTCTCAGGCATCGTTCCCGGCGCTACTATTACCGCGCCTGTTTGCTCGATTGGTGCGGCACCCAAACTTCTGTTCGGGTTAGAACTTGGTCAACAGTATCTGAGACGTGCCTGACATCCATTTCAATCGTCGAATAAAACTTCGAAACTGCCTTCATGGTATCTTTAAGTTTCTGAGACATGTGATGAGTATCGGGGACACGTCTGGGGTGACGTCAAAGATGGCGTCACCCCAGACAAGGAGAAAATAACGACCATCGTAGACATGCCACCTCCAACAAACGTCTCAGAACTCAAGAGGTTCCTACACTCTTAGAAAAAAAAAAAGGTCAGCTTAGTCCTCCTTAAATGGAGGAACGAGTCTGACACATATGTTCCTTCAGAAATGGAGCAACTTCGCCGAATTCAACAAGGGATGAAAGTTGCTCCTCCGTCGAATCGGAGGCGCATTTCAAAATGGCGGCTCCAAATCGAGCGTCTATTGTAGGTCCTTCCGGCACGCTATCGACGTTCCACCAGTTCCACCGCAACGCAAAGTGTTCCGAGAGTCACCGGACAGGCAAATGGCGGTCTGCCACTACTCCGTCGGCAACACTCGACAGAAAAGCACCGCGTTCACCGCCTAACAGCGACCAAGCCCACCCAAATCGAGCCGACAGTTCCAGGGCACGATGAGCACCAAATGATCACAGAACACGAGCTTTGCACGTCGTATATTTATTGGCAAATCCCGCTGCCCGTGCAGGTGAGGAAATCCGCGCCCCGAAGCATATTTCGCGTCGTGAACAAAAAAAACAACAAAAAAAAACACACATTTGCCGAAAAGTATAGAGCCACAATGGTCAGTCAATTTCGCGTCACTTACTCGTGCTCGTTCTCAAATCGCAATTACTCCGTCGCAAATCCCACACAACGGATAGGAGCTCTAGGACCGATACGTAATCCCACGCAACCGATCTTTACAACTGGCCAAAAGTATGCTACCGGCCGATGCGAACCTCGGGCACCTCGGGGACCTCAGGCGAAAGAAAATACGAAGACAGTTGCACCGTCCTCGGCCAGATGGCGCGCTCAAGCAACTCCAAAAGCACTGGATATATAAATATTATCCAGCGTTTAAAGCAAACTACTCCAGGTGGCGCTGTTACCGTCCAATTCAATAATTTTAAGAAAACATTGTCTTACTCCCAACATTCACTTCCCCGCTCCTCATTGCTTCGCACTATACTGCGTGACAACTTTTCTTGGCAATGCAGTGGAAGGTACGTCCCGCGTCCCCTCTCCCATTTTGAGTGTACGCAGGCCTCCTCCTCTCCCCGGAAATGGGGGAGGAGGAGAGCCTGCGTACACTAAAAATGGGAGAGGGGACGCGGGCCTCTACCTTCCACTGCATTGCCAAGAAAAGTTGTCGCCGAGTATAGAACCTAGGGGTCTCATCGTACATACACATTACGCACACAATGCACTGAACAACATGCACACAAACACGGCAACGTTACAACAGCCGCGGACACATATAACACACAACACGACGACTCATCACTGACTCGAACGGTTGCACCTGTGGTATATATACCGTGCAAATTTGAGGCACCTATCTCCGCAATGACTGCCCAAGAAGGAATAATATTGCGAAAACATTAATGCTCTCGCACGACAATCTGCCGGTAAGAATGTTTTTAAACGTTCGATGGCATACATCTCCAAGTAGAATGTAAGCTTAAACATGGTAATTATTTGGTGTAGTCGATAAAACAACCCCACCCGC